TATGACATCGGTTACGTATTTAATACCTTAGAATTGTTCTGTCCCGAAGTCTCATGTCGATCTAAATGTGTATTAAACAATGTGAGACTTCAAAATTTATTGCAAAAGACTCAAAACTTTCTACAAAAGAAATTGCAAAAATGTGTGTTTGCAAAAGTTTTGCAAAAGTTTAGGCCTTTTTGGCGAGCTTTCGGCGCTTAGCGCCTTTGTCGAGCCTGAAATGAAAATTATAAGCTTTCTAAAAGTCTGTTAATATATTAAAATATATCAACTGACCCACCTGCTGTCCGCTCTCGAAATTGTAATCACCGAAAAGGGTGGTAAGTGTTACACTTTTGAGAGCGGACAGCAGGTGGGTCAGTTAATATATTTTAATATATTAACAGACTTTAAGAAAGCTTCTAATTTTCATTTCAGGCTCGACAAAGGCGCTAAGCGCCGAAAGCTCGCCAAAAAAGGCCTAAACTTTTGCAAAACTTTTGCAAACACTCATTTTTGCAATCTCTTTTGTAGAAAGTTTTGAGTCTTTTGCAATAAATTTTTTTGAAGTCTCACATTGTTTTAATACGAAGTTATACGATTAGAGATTAGTACGGCCAGTGACCACTACAGGCCTTTATCCAAGTATCTGCACTAATACAACGGAAAGGCCAATAAACTGATTTCTGTATAGATTCACCCTCTCCATACATGTAGTTCCATGTAGCTACCTGGGTGGTCTTTCAAAAAGCGTACTTCGAAATTTTTGGAGTGTTGCAGATCAGATCTTGGGGTATTCACTGTCACGCACTCAGACATTCCAACGCAAAAGCCAGTGCTTGTATGTGAGTCCAGTCTGGTACCAATTAATCGACCCCTTGGACAGAAAGCAAGGTTGGCCTGGACGGTGCACGAGCCGGGATTTGATACCAGGACTTCGCGCGAGATGAACGGAGCCACTTCTCACTACATCAATGCTCAAGTTATAAAGTTCATGATTTCTGACTGGAAAACTGAAAGAGAAAAAAAGGATCACAGTTCGTAAACTCTTAGAAGGTTATTCTGACCTCTGTATCGCTCAATGGAGAGTTATATGGAAGACTTCGATTTGGCGACATGCGACCAGGCAACGGTAACAACTTCGACACATTCACTTTTCTAAAAATGTGCCAAATTTTCGAAAAGACTGAAGACAGTGGAACAAAACCGTACGAAATTGCCATATTACAGCAAACACATGCAGTATAACGAATTATATGCTTTGGTACTTGATTTCTGCCCATAGAATGATAAATGTCATAGCTCCCTACATTAGTCATTTTTCTCCCATTCGCGTTGATGAAACTCAATCTCAGCAACAAGACGCTTCTATATCATTCTCCAAACATGCAGACCCTTATGAAAATACATACACACTGCATTCAAAAAATAAAGTAAACATGGAAGACGTACGAGCACACCGAGTAGTCAAAACAAACCTCTCAATACCGTTTATAGAAACCAGTCGTGAGTTCTTATCCGGGACGGATAGTACACAAGCCTGAAACACTTGAAGGGTTTTACAAATTAGGCGGAGGAGCTCTAGAAAAGAATACTCACTCGGTAGAACGATTCACCCTCCACTACGAAGCAGGGAGAGCCAGACTGAAAATCACCTGAAAGCGTAAATACGTGAATGCCGTCGCAGATAAGATTAATATTGTTCCACGATTCATCATGTAATCATTTGAGAAGACTTTGCTCTATTCGCTCACTTTCATCTTGCTCAAAGATGCTACGAACTCACCGCGATCAACACTTCGCTTCTTATTCCTCAAATACAGGTCGTAAGCCAGGTTACGGTAAACGGAAGGATCAAGAGCCTTCACTGATGAGTACGGAATCGGTGGTCGCCAGGTAGGTGCACACGGCTGCTTCAGATATCTGTATGTTATCGCAAGCAAGAACTACATTATAATACAAAACGGAAATCCTGACCCCAGACTCTCCATCACTGAAGGAAAAGTCTCCATTGTGTCCTTGCAGATAATCCGACTTAGGAGTTTGAACATCGACTCCTACCGTATCTTCAAAAAAAAACTAGCTTTGATATTTCTCCAATTTAACAGCACTACTTTCTTACCATTAGAGATTATATACCGAAGTACGAAGAAAATATCTTACCCATATCTTTACGTACTTTATCGACTGACTCTTTAATAACATCGCGAGAAAACCCAAAAACACCAACGTAAAGGGCCTCGTAGAGAATTGCTGCAATATTTTCTTTCAGAATTGTCTAAGTATTGTAATGGAGTAAAAAGAAACAACAAAAAGCACAAAAGACCCACTTTGGGCCAGAGCTAAATTAGTGTGGTCTTCTCTGGTAATGACTAAATCGAAATGACCGCGAGATGTTTCGCACAGCATCACCTGAGAAAGGAAGAAAAACATTCAAAGCCCCCACACAATGCGCACAATATCATTTTCAGCCAAAGGGTTCAAAAAATATTCTGTCTGTTAACAACGACCTCGGTATTTCTGTAATCAATTTCATTTCCAAGTAGTACACTATAAGAAAAAATGAACTGATTCTCATTTTCAAACTCATTTTTATAGGTCAAAGCGGCACGCGGCAGCTACACTATAAAGTAGTTTGCACTCTCCGGCGTAATGATAGGGAGCTTCGTTAGGAACACAAAAAATCACTGAGTATATGTACCTTTTCAGCAGATTCCCCCTCAGAACTCCCTCTATATATAACAGGTTTCTCGCCGATCCCACGATACACGTGTAGGTCAACACTGAAAATATAAACTATGGTCTAAATTGTTAAATACAGAATACATAGTAAATGGCCGGTTATCCACATAGAGTCTTTTTTTGAATATTACTCTCTTAGCGCAAATCTTTGTAGTTGTTGAGTCCTCAACAACTACAAATTTGCTAAAGAGAATATACAGAATACACTGTCAAACTTATTACCGTGATGCTGCTAAAACGCTGCTACAAGTACTAACTGTACATCCAAACGAGTATCTTAACGCCATAAAAGCGCTCGCTGTGAACTCACGATTACTGAATACTTGAAATGCACTACCTATCATCTTCCTATGGCAATCTATGGGTCGACCCATAATTTCTATCCGATTTCGACAAACTCCTTTCCTCACGTTATAGTTTTCTTGGGAAACCATTGATTAGAAACATAAGCATCACCATGCTCCTAGAAGGAAAGCATCAAGATGACGATCAGATGAATAAACCTGAGGCTTGAAGAATTCGAAGGAGTCGTTCTTCTTCCACAGCTTTTTTTTTTATCGTGACTGCTGGTTCAAGGACACAGTGCCATAGGTGATGATAGCCCGGAGGAGTAATGCCAGAGACCTACGAAGAATGCGATATCGTGGTCCAGAACCCATTTCATTCATATGAAGGAATGATGGTGCGTCCAAGCGTCTGCTACAATTAAGTGGTAGGAGCATCCGGATGCACTTCAAAAGACACAAGGGGTCCTCATCGGAAGTGACTCAAATCTAGGATGAGATTAATCTTCACAACTCGTATCGTACCTCCTGACACGATTGAGCCAATAGCTCAGCGTCCGATCAGTAGTAGAGATTGGGCAGATACTGCTGATGCCGATAACTGTCCTTGCAAAATTCTCCTTTTTATCCGTGAAAAATAATCGTCCCTAATTGTTGATGATCCATTTCAATGTTCAGTTGAAATACTCCCTTCGTGCACTTGACCTGTCAAAATCTGGCTTAGGTTCCTGATGCGTTATTCAACATACCAAATATCGCTATATGACTAATTTGAAATGGGGAAACTTGATGAATTTGAAGGCATCAGCCAGAAATTATAGGCAGCCCAATAAAAGATAGCAGCCAGGAGAGTGGCCTAAAGATCGAGACAGCCATGGTTTGGTTGAATGAACGGTCTACTATTGCACATATCTGTGAGTACTCTCCGTATAAACTCTGCACAGCTATGTGTAGTGTTAAATCAAACGGTTGAGCTCAGTAAGAAAAAGCAAAATGCGTAAGACTTGGCGCACTTCTTATAACTGAGTGTGACTCACATTCAGGAAACCAGGCGTACTCAAGAGGCGCGCGCTTCACTAACTGTTATTCTTGCATTCTGATAGACAAAGCTGAAACGGCTCCTACTACCGCATTCAAACTAAAAACTCGTTCAATTGAAGAACCTCAAAAGATTAGCGAGGGTCGCTAAGGTATCCTCAATTTTGTTCACGTGCGGCAGTCCCTCTTCTATTCGTTGGATGTGGTACTGAAAGAGAAGATGGTCCTCGACGAATTGCTGCAGAGCAACGTGCTCCCTCTGATCCATGCTGAGCTGAATGAAATTCATCAAACAGTCGGGTGTAATGCTATTCAAAACCATTTATGAGGCACAGAACATACCGATTCACACACAGCTCTGTATAAGCTACTCCCTTTGTCATTCGGCATCGCTTTCTTCACCAATCCAAGGCGAGCTAAGTACCTGAAAACACTTTATCCCTCTAAATATGATAGGAACTAGTGAAGTTCTTACAATATGCAATAAATGAATCAGTCTTAGCCGTGCACATACCGTGTGCGCCACTTGACTGCTTGGGAAACATGTTCCTCCTATGAGAATCCTAACGTGTTAACCAAGAATGTTTTTGAGGTTTCTTGCACGCTCTGCTCATTCACCACTCTTCCCATCATGCTTTGCTAATTTCCACCGTACACGCTATTGGTCAGGCTCCGTCTAGCCTCACATGTCACACGGGCAACACTGCAGCCGCTTGCATCAGCTAGTTCCTCAAACCTAAGATGTACGTGCCGCACTTCCGAACGACAGACAGACATAATATTCACTGCTAATACGTATACATCCATATCTCGAGTCCGAGTTAGCGTTTCGTTATGGTTTCAGAAGAGCGTCGTCACGGGACTTGACGTGGCGCCGCCGCATTGTATAGAAGTGCAGGTTTGGCGGATAGAGCTGCTTCCAGCCCCCTGCTTTGTGATATGCAGCGATTATGTGTAGAAACGCTGTATCCATCGGCTTCTATCAAAAGCGGCAACGGCTACGTCAAATCCGATAGATACGCCTAGTAATCTGACTTCGATATATGGACTCTACACTATATACAGTCCATATCTCGCCGTCTGATTGTGAGTAGACGTATCCACGAATTTGACGTGGCGACCGCCTCACTTGATAGAGGTCGCATGCATGAGCTGCTTCCATCACGCTTTGCTGATTTCCGGCAAACTATGTTGGAAACAGCTTATTCACGCGACCTCCAACAACGGTGACCGCCACATCAAATCCGCGGACACTTCTACTAAGGATCAAACGGCGAGATAGGAACTGTATCTCGCCGTCCGAGTAGGCGTGTCTACGAAATTACTTATTGATAAGCATGCCACGATACAGATGTTGCAAAGCCATTTCCAGCTGATTTTGCTATTTTTTATACTGTTTCACCACATTAGTCTTCTTTGAAGAAATAAGCCTGCCGAAGTGAAAAACGTTGTGGTTATACATATTGCACAATCATTCGCTTTGTTAATGACGTCCGTGAACAAATCCTAACAGATTTGCAGACACGCAAACTCAGGCGTTGATATGGACTACACAGAGCATAGAATGGATACTGGGCGGTAGTGGAGGCCTATCAATGGCATGACAAGGCGTCGAAACCAGGGTCAACCGTCACGTTCGAACATTTTCGGGATTTTTGCGACCCCCTAGCTCTCGAGGGGGTCCAGTTGCGACCCCCTGTTTTTGTTAATAAGAGTGCTAGACATGAATCCGTTGCGCCAGAAAGCGTCTGCGCGTCGTCTGCGCGCGTCAGCCTTGGAGCGCGGCAGGTATCACCCGGGCGCTGGAAGAACGGGACGCGGCGAAGAAAAAATTTTAGAGGGGAATAACTTTCTTGGGACGTATTTTTTGACTTGTTGAGGTAGATTTTGATTGTGCCTGAGGTGCGCTTTCAGAAAACTACAAGGATTGCCTAACTCTCCGGAAAGTACTTCTGTTAGAAGTGGAAAACCCAAAATTCTAAGAAGGCGCACCTTCAACTTTGAAGGCCCATAAAATCTTTCGTATGCGACATTTTGGAAATCTGTAAAAAGTTTCAGAAACTTCAAATATTTCTCTAACAAAACAGTATAAAAAGTTTAGTGATTGTCCCCTTTTTCAAAAAATTGTCCCGTTCGAACATTTTTCGTGCAAAAGCGAGTTTTTGGGCTTTCAGCGACCATAACTCACTTCATTTTCATTTCTGTGATGCACTTTTTTCATGGGGTGAAAGTAGGATTTGCTCTTTCTAACAAGCCCAAACCGTTTTTCAAAGTTCATTTTTCGAGAAAATCACACGTTCGAACATTTTGGGGGGTTTTGCCGAACACTTTTTTTGAAATCGCGAGTTTTTGGGCTTTAAGCGGGCATAACTCACTTTCAATTCTATTCTTCTGCCCGATGCATTTTTTTCGATGGGTGGAAGTAGCAACGGGATCCTTGCTCTTTCTGAAACAAAGCACGAGCCGTTTTTCGAAATCCCATTCCCGGAAAATCACCCGTTTTCCAAAGTTCATTTTCGAGATCACACGTTCGAACATTTTGTTCCCATAGGTTTTTGAGCAGCACATGCGAGTTTTTGAGCTTTCAGCAATAATAACTTCCTTCAAAGAACTTGTTGGGGAGGGGCGAAGACATTTTTGAAGACTACGAGATTTCTGCTTTCTTATGTGTTTTACCGTTGTCTGGAAGAATCGTCCTCAGAAAATTAGGTCCCGAAGAACTTTAATTTCAGCCCCGAGAAGTCAAACCTTTCATAGGGATGCATTCAACTGTTCTCTATTCCTCAAGGAAAACACCGTAATTTGCCTAAAACTGTCTCTCTGTGCATAATTAATCGAATCTAATGCGGTCTGCACAAACAATTCTTGCCCTCGGATACGCCACGCACGCGCCTGTGGCTGGCAGTCCTCGAAATTGCGACCCCCTTCCGACCAAAATGCGACCCCTTCGTTCGAACAGTTCGAACGGACGGTTGACCCTGGTCGAAACCCACCCGGAACTCAGAACCACGTACGTTTCGAACACGGAAGAGATTGCAACGGCAGAATACTCAATATGATACCGTTGTCGTGATCGTTCGATTTTATTCTAGAGTGCACCTCATACGAACTTCCGCATCTTCGTATCTTATCCTGGCGTATCTTGCATACGCCCGACTATCCATTCTCTATCTAACCATCAGCTCTAATCTCGAATCCTTTGATTGACAACGCGTAACACTCGGCTCCACCGAGAAGCCAGCGTGACTGCTTCCGTTAAAGGAGGATTCCACGATAAGGTCGAAAAAGAAAGAAGGGAAATTAACCTAGAGGAAAAGGCAAACGGGTCTCAAAAGGGTGGGGACTGACATGCAATTCGCAGCTAAGGCTGGTGTCAGAGTCCGCGATCCGTCGCAGGTTTCGCTGATTTTCGCGATTTGCGCGAAACCTGCGACGGATCGCAAAAATTGCAAGTGCCCCATTTGAACATTTGAAACACTGAATATGAAACAAGTGGAATCATGAGCAGTCGTCATTCAGCCATCACTATCAAGCAGAAGTGGCGGCAGGATTGGAGAACACCTTGCAGTATTGATCGGGCACTTGTGATTTCCGTGACCCGTCGCGCAATCGCGCAAATCGCGAAAATCGCGTGAATCGCGCAAATCGCGAAAATCAGCGAAACCGCGACGGATCGCGGACTCTGACACCAGCCTAAGGATAAGCCCCGGCGGCCCATTATGACCCTCACAGCGGTGCTATCGGCGCGGTACGCGCTCAGACTAGTTAACCACTCGCAGCAGGTGGCCCCTAGCCATTTAGCAGAAAGAGAGAGAGAGGGATAGATAGAGGAGAGAGCGTCAGAGCTGGAGGGGGCAGCACCTACGAGTGTCGAATCAGTGCGAAAATCAAAAGGCTACCAAGGAGTCCTACTTCTAGGGTTTTGGACCGTTTCAAGGTTTCTTTTTTCTTCATCCCATCGTAATCTCTGTACTCAATAGAAAAAATCATAACTCGGTTATAAAAAGACTAGGAATCAGAAAAGAACTGGTGTAGATGAGAAATATCTAACGTGGAGCACTACCTACAGTGCGTCCCTGAGTGGGCGGCATCTCCCACGAATCTTCATAAGCCAGCTCCGAGAAGTTCTAAGAGTGCCAAAAAAGTAGAATGAGGTTGGCGAAGGAAGGGAGGTGAACCGCT